TCCTCTCTCTCTCTCTCTCTCTCTCTCTCTCTCTCTCTCTCTCTCTCTCCAATCCGTTGGATGGTAAGGACCCAATTGGGAATGATTTTCCAAAGTCCATTGGATCATATCATCTCCATAACTATAAAGCACTAACTCAACTTACCTGCAGAATGTCATGATATTGCCTCGCAATGGTATCAAAGTGAGGATCCACGCCTTGATACTCACGTAATCGTGTAACCTGGTAAGGCATCAAGAAGGTTTATCATCAATCGAAAGCAGGGTAAACCAAATAAAATAAAACAAAACAAGAAATAAATGATGAGATACTTCCGAGCGTATTTTTGCTTTTAAAAACTCACTTTTTTGTTTTGTCTACAAGAAACTTAGAATTATTCTACCAGCAAAATATCGTACCGCTTTATTGTATGCAATTGAAGCCTCTTCTGTGGCCTCCATGAGGTACTTCCTAAAAATGGAATCCCAAGCATCAGATCATTCACTCAAACTGTAAGGTCAACAAAACTCTCATAAACATTAAAAGGGTTTACCGTATTTTGTGAAGTGCGGGTATTGAATCCTGAGTATACGTGTCCCGTAAGAGAAGATGCTCCAGGACTCTGCAAGCAAAGTTTAGCTAAATGAGCACGACCACACTCCTTTAAGAAACATAACAAAAAGTACTATCAAATCAGTGGAGCAACCCTTCTTATGCTGGAATTATTTTGTTAGTTTTCTGAAGTATTATAAACTGGCTGATTATTAATGGAATTTTTCTCAAGTATTACGATGCTGGCAGATACTAAGAAGATACAAATTAAACCTAGAGTCAAGAATGAGAAGCACGCCACTGGTGGCACAGACCTCAGTTTAGCGTTCATAGTTTCACACCTCTTGCACAGCCATGTTTTCCTTAATTCATCCTAGCCATATGGATAAATAATAAGTATGGATAAAACAATAAAACAATCATTAAGATAAAGAAAGGGAGTCATAGCAGATACCACATGTTTAGAGCTAATAAAAATTTAAAAGAGTGTACGTAGTAGCCATTCTCTTAATGATGCAGTGGCAACCAAATAACAAACTTACATATTGATGTTGGTGTTGTAGCTTCAGATCTTTCACAAGTTTGATCAGCACTGCAAGTATCTGCTCCAATACCTAAGATGACAAAATCAGCAAGCAAGTTATATGCGATCTAAAATCAATCATCTTCAATATTGTACAATACAGATAAGAATGCAAGTGACTATAATCAGATGAAGGCATGCTGGAGAATGCAAAGATCTCTCTAAAATATTAAAGGTGGCCTACAAATGTAAAGAGTTACAATGTAGAAATGTGTATGTTTTTTGTGTGCATGAAAGACAAAAAGCTGACTAAAGAGAGGGAATTGCTTGGAACCATACATTATAATATTCAGCAAATTTCCTATCTGCTGAACAAAGATCTTCACGCAAAGCTGCCTCTTCCCTTTCAATCTTATCCACAATCAGCTTTACCCTGGCCGAAAGAAAAGCCAAGCCCTAACCATACAGCAAAATGAAACATCTAGCTTAAACATCTAACTTTGATGCCAGCATGCTAAGAACATGTCAAGTTATTAAAGGCTAGCATCCAATATAATAATAGAACAAACCAAAAAAAAGTCAAAAATTGCTCCAAATTGCTCTAGATACTACTGCACATAGCCACCAACATCCACACATTGGTGGGTACATTAGTGGTTATTCTGGATTATTGTTTCAGAAGGACATGGAACTAGTCATCTATGTGGCATGTGAGTACCAAAACTCAGACTTATTAAGGAAAAGTTTAAAGATATTTTTACAAGCTACCATCATCTTGTTGAATAACAAAATGTGCATGGAGTCGTGTATGGGAATGTATGTGTTTTATAAAAGCCCAATCAATCGCTTTGTATCTATTTTTATTAATCAAATCTCTTTTTACAATCCCAATTCTTTTTTTGATAAAAGCCCAATCTCTGTTTCAACTACAGGAAAGGCCATTAATATGCTGTCCATGGAATTCAAATATGGGTTGCTCAGATGAAGCACGGATATTCACAATCATATATAAGGAGACGAAAAAATACACATTATTAATAACTGCTTCAGAAGAGCAAAATTTGTAGAGATATATATAAGGATGATTCATTGTCATTAGGAGGGTAATATTTTGAAAGACTGTAAACCATGAACCGTAAATAATATTCAACTTGCAACCTACAGTTTCTCTTTTCCCTAACTAATCTCTCAATATTAAAACATGTTTGTTCTGATGGCATGCAAATTATACAATCAATAAATTACATCAGACCAAATAAAACATGCACAATATAACTAAAAAGACGTCATGCACGACGAAAATGACCATCAGTAAAAGGACCTACGCATGCCATCTGAGTCTAAAAGGTACAAATACACATTACAGAAGGAAATTTAAATACATACCTTTCAGGAAGCCGAGCGCTCTGAAACTGACTTATGGCAGAAGAGTCTACAACATCGAAGTAAATAAATTGAAGCAATGTATTGATACTACAACAATGAAAAAAACAAAAAAGATCGCTGAAATTGTCCAAAAGATAAATCTTCATAGTGCTTACCCTTTTCTTCCATAACAAAGGCATCAGATACTTTCTCACATTTGGCTTTTAGGCGTGCCTCTATTTCACGAGCTACTGACATCTGATACTCTGAGATGTCCTAGATATTGTAACAGTCCACCAATAGAAATAATTAGCATAACATTTAAGGTTTATGCAACAATATACATCCATAGAGTTCTTCCAAGCCTATCCAGGACAAATGAAGCACTACAAAGCAAGATCTGAAGTTGTAATAAAACACATTGAAGACTCTTATTCTTACCATTTGGTTATCATTAATGGCAAATGCAGTGACAATGTAGGCCTACCTCATTAAATGGGATCTGGTTCAGCTGGGTTTGACGTAAAAAACCAGGTGTAACTCCAAGGAAACGGCTCGGGACACCACCAATCCCCGCTTCATTGGAATCAGAAGTGGTAGAACTATTTCCAGCCCCCCCAACACCACTGCTATTAGCCAAATTATTTATACTAGACTCTAAGGAAGTGATACTTGGGATCGTAACACTGGTGCTTGTACTATCCAGTGAGCTCCTTGACATTATACTCATTTTCTCTATCTCTTCTTCATGGATTTCACCATCTTTTGATAAAAGAGGAAGCCTCAATCTTTGGGTTGCCTCAGCTACAACTAGTCGACGCTCAAGGGATTCATAAACCTGCAAAATAACATAGCGTGAGAAATGACTGCTTTCACATTGAAAACCTTGGGCAGCTTAGCAATACAAGGACAAAAGTTAAACTGAAGAACATTCATCATCATCATCCAAATTATCCCAATGATTTGGTATCCGCTACCATGACAAGATGTGGCAAAGTTTTACGCTGGCTGCCTATCTAACACAACCCACCTCCTTTACCCCGAGTCAGGGATAGGTAACCAGAAAGTTTAAGATCCTCACCCTTATTAGACCAATTATATATACTATAATATTACATGTATTACTATTATGGGTTTTGTTAGGGTACTCCTACAAATGGAGTATTTTTTAAAGTATTTAAATTGAAGAACATTCATGGTCTCATAAAAAAAATTTCTTCCTTCTAGTCAAAATCATATGATATCTCAAAAAGGATGAAATTCAAATTAAATTTCGCCGATTCCGTCCTTAAAAGTCTTTCAGCGTCTGAATTTCCATCTCAATTCGTGTTTAAGACGGGAAGACCAGAAAGGAAAAGCTTTAAATTGCATTAATCAGGGCACATGACCAGCAGAGAGCTGAGCATTGTACTAGTTTTCCATGAGATATGATGACACCAAGAATAGAGACCTAGTATGTCAATCAGAAAAGAAAAATTCTAGAAACATCAACCTAGTTTCACTATTACTTTTTTTTTTTTTTGAAGAATAATTGAAAATACTGCAATTTATCTTTATCCACATCTAGTAACTGCATGCACATTGTGAGAGAGAGAGAGAGAGAGAGAGAGAGAGAGAGAGAGAGAGAGAGAGGAGGAGGAGGAGGAGGAGGAGAGGGAGGAGGTAGGTAGGACGTACGGAGACGTACGAACGACGAACGTACGTACGTACGTAACGTAACGTAAGTAACGTAGTACGTAGTACGTAGTACGTACG